GCCTTGCTTTGCTGTCACTTTTGATTTCCCCTTGAAAAGAGGAACAGAAATGTGGATTAGGCAAGATTAAACTAAATATTTATGTAATAAAAGGCAGAAATAAAAACTGATTGTCCTAGCAAAAAGAATTATAAATCTAGTCAACAAAACTCTCAAGGAATGGGCCAGGGAAGTATCTTGCTCACAGTCACGAGGTTAGAAAGTGACTGAGTTGGAATTGGGTCTGTCTGCCTCCAAAGCCCAGGCTCTTGGCCTCTGTGCTTCATGCCTCTGTTTAAGAATAGTTCTAGGAAAGTCCAGAAAAGCTCAGTGACCCTCCAGGACAGGGCAACCTGGGACTTAAGGACAGTTAGGGCTACTTTTGATTGCATCAGGACCTAGCTAGTAAATGCACACAGGGCAACTTGGATTACAGAGTTTCCTCACTGTGACTCTGCTCCTTTGGCTGCCATCACTTGACCTGCCTCTTGGACCCCTCCTCCTGGAGAACAGGAGAACATTATGGCTTTACTGTGCCTATGAGAGAGGCCACAGCCTAGATGTACTGTCTGCTCCTCAGCATCCACAGGGCTCCCAGACTGACAGTCACTGTCTTCCTTAGGACCTCTTTCCTGTGAGTGGCTTTGTTTTCCTTCAATAAACAGACCTGAGATTTGGTGATTGCCATAAGTACCGAGTTATCTATTAACAGCCCATGTGACCAAACACCTACAGACACAGATACCTCATGGTCACAAGGGCTGTTAGAGGCAACTCGTTCTTTGTTTTTCTTTTTTCTTATGAGCTAAAGATGTTTCCCTGTAGTTTGCGTACATAGGTAGTCCCTGCTCCTCTTCCACAGAACACGTTTATTCTAAATGCTTCAAGATTGTGTTCACAAGTCCTGAGTCCCGAGTCATGACACTATTCCTTGTGTAATGTGATGTTGAGCTCCTTCCTCCTGATGGATTCCTGGGAGGACAAATGAGAAACAGAAGGGAATAAATGCTGTTGTTCACAGGCATGTACAGCTGTAAACAAGAAAGAACAATCAAACTCATCACAATCCTGTATTTTAGATCAATTACTCATAGAAAATCAGCCCAGAAGAGACCTGGTCATTTTGGTACACATCTCAGAATGGCATTCCCAGCCCAGCCATAAAAGACAATGTCAGAAGGAATAGCGCCAAGAGATGCTATTTCTGGTGAATCTAAGGGCTCAGTGATATTGTTTATCTGACAATACACTCACCCATTCATGCATCCATGGAGCCAACAGTCATTTGTTGAGTACCGAGTACTAGGAATGGAAGGGAAAACAACTCAGATGTTCTCAACTATTCTCACAGAGTCCACTGATAACTGTCGTATTCATCGGAGGGATTTCACCTTGATGCCAAGACAGGAGGATGTAGAGATGGACCTTTGTGACCATACCCAGACTGTGCATTCTAACTTCAGATGTGTTTCCGATGTGTTGGTGTCCTCCAGAAAATTACGAACATTTACACAGCTTTGGACTTCCCCAACCTGTGCCTTCTCTCCTATCTCCTTCTTCTAGGCAAGTCTTTCATTGAGAATCTCTTAACTCCCTAAATGTCTCTGCTTCTGAAACTCTTTTCCCTCTCTTGTGGTCTACTGGCCAGGCATCCTTTAAAATGCTGAGCACTGTCTTCCATTCTCTGAGCAACTTCCCATACTCTGAACTTTCTAATACTGTCCCTTCTCCTAACCCTTCTTCCATAAGGACTTTATTTCCAAGACTTATTTCTTGGGTCTTGTTTTTTTCCCCATACCCCTGCCCTGCCTTCAATCCCTTCACCCTTCCCTATTTACAAAGACTTTTTTCCCCCATTTTTCACATTTTTTCTTTTCCCTTATTTCCTTTCCCCTCCCCTCCCCTTTCCTTTTTAGCCATTTTCTTCCTATTTCACACTATAAATTATACCATTTGACCCTTATTTACACTTCTAGCTTTTCACACCACAGAAACTATTTGGTATTTACTTATGTATGCTATTTTGCTATTTATTTCACTTAAGAGTATAGCCTCAATGTGCATCCATTTAGCTATAAAAGTTTCTACTTTCTCATTCTTTTTGGCTGAATAGTACTCCATTTTATAGAAAAACCACATCTTCTTTATCCATTACACATCTTTTTAAAATCCATTTATCAGTTGATGGGCATTTGGGCTGTTTCCAAGATTTAGCAATTACAAACTGTGCTGCTATAAACATGGGTGCACATATATTGCTGTGGTATGATGCTTTTAATTCTTTTAGGAAAGTAGTTAGAAGGGGAATAGCTGGGTCAAGTGGGACCTCTAATGGTAGTTTTTTGAGAAATCTCCACACTGATTTCCATACTGGTTGCACCAGTCTACACTCCCACTAATAGTGGAGAAGTGTTCTATCCCCCCACAGCCCTGCCAGCATCTGTTGTTGGTTGATTTCTTGATAATAGCCATTTTTTTCTGGAGAGAGGTCAAATCTCAGCATTGTTTTAATTTACATCTCTTGAATGACTGGTGATATTGAACTTTTTTTCATGTATTTATTTGCTGTTTCTACTTCTTCATCTGAGAAGTGTGTATTCATCTCAGATATCCATTTTCAAATTGTGTCTTTAAATTTGGGTGGACTAATTTTTTCAATTCTTTATTTGTTTGGTACCTGGGATCAATTTTCAAATCTTGATGTGTTCTAGATATTAGTCCTTTGTCTCAGGAACCACTGGCTAAAATTTTTCCCACTCTGTGGGGTGTCTTTTCACTCTCTTGGTGATTTCTTTGATTGTGAAAAAGCTTTCAACAAGATGAGGTCCCCCTTGTTGATTCTTTGTACTACTTCCTATGCGGACTGGGTTTTGTTCATGAAGTCTTTGCATACTCCTATGCTCTCAAGAGTTCTACCTATTCTATCTTCCAGCAGATTTAGTGTTTCTGTTTTAATGGTTGGATCTTTGATCTGCTTTGATTTTAGTTTTGTGAATGGTGAGAGGCATGGGTCTACTACTTTTAGTCTTTGACATGTAGAAAGCCAGTTTTTCCAGCACCATTTATTAAAGAGGCTGTCTTTCTTCCAGGGAAGATGTTTGGACCCTTTGTCAAAGAAAAGATGGCTGAATGTGTTTGAGGTTCTTTCTGCATCTTCTATTCTGTTCCATTGATCTTCAGGTCCTTTTTTTTTGGCAGTGCCAAGCTGTTTTGAACACAGAAGCTCTGTAGAAGTCCAGAGTTAGGGTGGCTCCTGCCTTGCCTTTGTGGCCAGGAATTTTTTTGCCATTCTAGGTCTCTTCTGATTCCAAACGAATTTTAGGAATGATTTATGTAGTTATGTGAAGTATATTAATGGTATTTTGATTGGACTTGCATTAAATTTTTCAAACAATTTTGGGAGTATGGTCATTTTCACTATTTTGTTTCTTCCTATCTATGAGCAAAGGATATCTTTCCATTTTCTGATATCTCTTTGATCTCCTTTTTCAGGGTGCTGCCTTTTCAGTGTAAAGGACTTTTACTTCCTTTGTGAGACTGATTCCTAAGTATTTCATATTTTATGCTATTATGAAAGGTGTTATTTCACCAATTTCTCTCTCAGTGAGTTTATTATTTGTTACAGAAATGCTATTGATTTTTAGTGCTGACCTTGTATCCAGCTACACTACTGAATTTGGTTATTAAATGTACACCTCTTTTGGTAGAATTCTGCAGTTTCTTATACTTTGTTTTCTGTAAAGCATTTTTCTTATTGTGAAGCGGTTTTCACATGCTATTGCATTATTAGACCAGTGTGTGTGTGTGTGTGTGTGTGTGTGTGTGTGTGT